TAGAGTGATGAATTCCATTCAATTGATTGTTCCACAATGATCCGTAGAGTTGCGATTTGGTCTGTACACGATCTATCCTTACGGAATCCTGCCTGTTGGTCTCGAAGTTGGGCGTCTACGCAGTCCTTCATCCTGTTTAACAATACCCTGTTGAAGACTTTTCCCGGTATTGAGAGAAGAGTGATGCCTCTGTAGTTATCACACTTGCTGAGATCGCCTACCTTCGGTATTTTGATCAGAAGTCCTTCTTTCCAGTCTGTTGGTACTTGTTCCTCATCCCAAATCTTATTGAAGAGAATGTGGAGTATCCTTGCAGTTGCCGCTACGTCTGCTTTTAGTGCCTCTGCTGGGATGTTGTCCGGTCCTGCTGCTTTGCCACTCTTGATTTGCCTGATGGCCATGCTGATTTTTCCAATTGTTGGTGAGCCAACATTGATTTGGAGGTCCGTGAGTGCTGCTTCGATGTTGGGTGGGTTCAGTGGCGCTGGTCGATTCAAGAGTTCTTTGAAGTGTTCTATCCACCTGTTTTGTTGCTCTTCAATGTGGGTGATTACCTTGCCTTCCTTGTTTTTCACTGGTCGTTCTGGTTTGCGGCGATTTCCAGAGAGCTTCTTTGTCGTGTCATACAATTGTCTCATGTTTCCTTCTCTTGAAGCCTTTTCCGCCGTCGTTGCTAAATCTTCCACATATTTACGTTTGTCGGTTCTGATGCTCCTCTTCACTTGTTTGTTTATTTCCGTGTATTCAGCTTGTGCCTTAGCTTTTTCTGCTCTTGTTCGGCTGGTATTGATCGCTGCCTTCTTGTTTCTTCTTTCTTGAATCTTATCCAGTGTATCAACAGTGATCCATTCCTTGTGGTGGTGCTTCTTGTGACCCAGGACCTCATGACATGTTGAAGTGATTGCCTCTTTGATCCCCTTCCAGTTGCTCTCCACAGTAGTTCCTTCTCCATTGAGTAGATCATGAAAGGCCTGGAACTTGTTGCTGAGGACTATCTTGAATTTGTTGAGTTTGTTAGTATCCTGAAGAAAGGCCGTATTGAACTTTTGTGATATTGTCCGCCCCATTGTCCAGTGCTTCTTGAGTTTCAACTTCATCTTGGCGACCAGCAAGTGATGATCTGATGCTATATCAGCTCCTCTCTTGGTTCTCACGTTCTCTATAGTCCTCCTGAACGTTTTGTTGATGTAGATATGGTCGATTTGGTTTTGCGTGGTGTGATCCGGTGAAGTCCATGTTGTTGTGTGTGCGTTTATGTGGGAATATGGTACCGCCTATGACCAGTTTATTGAAGACACATAGGTTTGCAAATCTCACCATTTTCGTTCCTTTCTCCCAGTCCGTGTCGTCCCATGATGTCTTCATATCCAGTGTTGTCCGTCCCAACCTTGGCATTGAAATCTCCCATCAGAATGGTCAGGTCCTTTGTTGGGCACTTCTCGACGATTGACTGCAGCCTATTGTGGAATTGATCTTTAGCGTCTTCATTGTAGTCGTTGGTAGGCGCATAGCATTGGATGATGTTCATTGAAATGCCCTCTTTCTTTGTTTTGAACGAGACTTTGATGATCCTTGGTCCATGAGATTCCCATCCTATGAGCGCATTTTGCGCTTGTTTGGACAGCATCAATGCAACTCCTTGTGTATGTGGTGCATTTTCTTCTTCATGGCCGGAGTATAACAGGAGCTCTCCTGTAGTTAGTCGTTGTTGTCCAACTTGTGTCCAATGTGTTTCACTGATCCCAAGTACCTCTAGGTTGTATCTTCTCATTTCTGCAGCAATTTGGAAGGCTCTTCCGGTGTCCCACATTGTACGAACATTCCATGTACCTAAATAAATGGTCGCTCTGGTTGTCAGAAGGGGCATCGGCCTCGTAACTTCCGAAGGAATTCGGCTTTCATCATGAGGCGTCATAATTCTTCTAAATGAAGACCTTCTGACTCCCAGGGCAGAGTTTAAAAGGTTTGAATAATTTTTTCTGGTTAGCGTTTTTTTAGCGAGTTAGTTTTCTACGGGATGGGGACGCTAACCCCATGCCCAACCCTCCTCCTTTATCCGGGCTTGGGACCGGCAGTAGCCCCCGGAGGGACTCCAGGCGGAGTCAATGATACCCGTGAAAAACGCTGCCAGTGTTGAGATAGAGGCGACAATATCGTTTTCAGTTTGCAGGAGATTCGCTCGACTGCATAAACTGATGATTCGCGCGAATGATATTGTCGTCAGACCACCAACTCAACTAGACAGGTTGTAAATTTTCGAGTAGTTGAACAGCAGATTGATGTGCCGAAATCATCTGTTAAATAACAGCCACGAGGAAACAACACTTTATAAAATAAAGTACGACATCGAAGTAGAAAAGCTACAATAGTTCGGATGTGTTACAATGTCAAGTCTAAATAACAGTTATTACGTATACTGACAGTTGCACTGAACGTTCGTTTAGGCATTATTAGCGTAACAGTTGGATGTGTGAATAAAAACATATACGAAAACTATGGTTGGGTTCGTGGAGAATTTTCGAGGACGTTTAGATATTTTCCAAACCCGAAAATAGAATTAAAATGACTGTCGTGTAATAAGGAAATCGAGTCATGATTTACCGTGTGAATTAGTAGCAAATACAAGGGGTATAATAAACATTAATTAAAATGGCAACCATCAATGTAACTAAGGTTTAGAGGGTCCAGGTAACGTGGCCATTTCGTAAAAGGCTGATACAAAGAGCTTATCACCTAGCGTTAAGTGACATATTAAGTACGACAACGTGTGTACTTGGGACATGGACTAAGCGTGCTCGTGTACATGCAATATGTTTTACCACAGTATGTCGACTAACGAGTCATAAATGTACATGATTTTGACTAAAACTTGACGGCAGTGACAGAATATATGACTAGTTTACGTGAAAGCAACTACGAAATGTTATTACGCATCATAAATATAGTACGAAATAATCTAATGAAATTATGAAACTCGCCTGGGTTACTCTTGCATCTAGGTAATGAAGATATGAAGTAGGCTGTAGTTTGAATCTGGATTATGTACGAGGTACTGTTGATTAGGTTTTCGATTAACACAGCATTGTGGACTGAATTTGTATAAGTCCAGAATTAATGTAAGCCGAATATATAGCATTACCTGACGAACAGTCTAAACGAGATCTAAGATCGCAGGAAATTTATAATTCAAACTCACCGTGAATTTCTAGCATTCGTATCCTCTGTTTGGCCATGGAACTCAGCAATTGGAAATTAGGCAGGCAGTGGTAAAAAAAAGCAGAACACTCTAGTGGATAGTGGTTAAGCAGAAACATGAATTTATAGTCGGTAGTTAATCTTGTCTTATTTATACCAGTGGATAAGTTACAAACAGATGTGCGTTCGTGTTGCCATGTGGCTATACTCACGAGTGGTTTATATTTTAACAGACAGATTACACAGGAGCATTTACATGCTGCTAATGTTTGTTAAAGAACCACGATAGCCAATTATAATCGTAGTTGGTTGGTTAGTTCTGTCGATTGAACTAAGTATCTAAGTTTAAATACTAATCAACATTGACATGAAGCAACGAAAGTTCACAGTGATAGATTAACATAGGCGATGATAAAAATGAAAAAGAATAAGTATAGAATGCAATAATAAAGATCATAGTGATACGTTGCGTTATTCGAAGTCTTGCTCACCAGTGTAGATCACCAACATAGATGATCTATGTCGAAATGATTGGAGGCCTACTCGAGTTAGACGTGAATGGTGTGATAAGGTAGCTAACGTCGAAGTCACACCTCGTGATCAGCACCTTACGTGGACTACCTCATTGACGTATGAAGGTACTATAGATGCTTTGAAGACTGTACAACACTGCCGCATGGGCCAGTCCATGGTACATGATTAACTAATGCGCGTTGCTTGTACATGACCTTGGCAGGGAGCGACGATCTGTTCGACATTCAGTGATCCAACTGCCGGATGATTTGGCTAGGGCTCAGTGACATTTCACTGGCCCTACAATGTTATGCAGATGTAACGTGGATTCTTGACAAATTCAAAGAAATCATGGGAACAACTACACGTACGGAAACATTTGTTATGGACTGCGCACGAGTAGACAGTGATAAAATGTTCTTCGTTTATGACTTCACTATTTAAACAACTTGTAAACTTATCTTTCTACTTTAGTAGTCATGACAAATCAATAAACTTTTCTCAATTTCTATTTTCGTCTTCATACTTTCATGGGGAGGTAATACCAATAGTTTTAACGAATAATTGTTTGTGAGAATTTAGAACGTGTACTTCTGCATTAGTTTTGAAGTTTCTTTAGAACTTAGCGTTATATCGTCGTTAGTTTTGACGAATCATCGAGTCACTTAGAACAGTAATGCGACTTTCACGTAGAACCTTACAGATTAGACAACCGCTTGACATATTTTTCATTGTCGAATTACTTCTACTATCAAATTAGTATTAGTAACGAACTAGACAATTTTATGCAGTCAGTTCCCTGATAAGGTGGGTTACGAAATCTTTAAACCACCCTTCCACTCACACCTATTTGCTAACTTTATCCTTTTAGATTATGTGAACTCTTCAAATTGTATTTAATTATCATATTAGTTTTTGATTCAATGATTTATTCATTACCTCTAGAATTATCACACAATTTATCTTATCTGCTTATGAACTCTACTCGACTATTACAACACCCATCCTTAATTTTTCCCTAAGTCTAACACTAAATAACCTTTGACCTGTTCAAGCATATAGTTGTTACTGATAACCCAGATCATACCGATTTTGTGCTTTCTATTATGTCAACTGTTTCATACTATTTCTTACCTCAATCTTAAATTATAATACATATTTAGTTGTATGCAGCTTGCGAGAAAGCACGAAATATAATGCAGTAATATTATTCTGCATCGATATTTGTTTTAGCTTTATTTAGACTATAATTATACATACTTGCAGAATTTATAACGTAAAACACTGAGTATGGTTGTTATATTTATATTTAAACAATTCACTAGATGAATGAAAATGGCAGTAGGCAATATAAAACAGTTGTCGTAAACTTGTAAACCGGTTTTCCTCACGATCTTCCATAACCATAAATTTCATAAGCTTCATTCTATTATGAAAAACAACAAATCGGTCTTGAGACAAACAATTAAACTTTGTCATCAGTATCACATTCAATAAATTAATCAAATAGCATGTAACAGAATATACCTATAAGTCTCTTATTTGCAAACAGTGATATTCATTAGAGATTTCGTATTTTGTTAATGGAAATTCATTGATAATCTTTAGAACAGACACATCACAGATTAGTGTTATTTACAAATTTCTGTAGTTAATATCACCACAACATACAAGCGGCGTCCGACTTAGGAGGAAAATGTGACTAATAAATAATGTGTCACAAAGCAGATATGAGTGCTACATAAATTTGTAATTAAGCTTCGATTGCTCGTTCACTTTTCGTCACGTATTCTGCATGAATTACTTTGGATGAGTCAGTCTGTAATGGAGTAGGAATTCAAGAATTAACTCATTAATACTTGCTATTTGATTCTAGGGATGTGTCGTATCAAGGATTTGGAGCTTCAAATTCCCATCATATAACTGTGAACGCTTCACAGTCTTATGACATTTGTTTATACCACGTTTATGATGTAAATCAAATGTTAATGGTTTGACAGCTCATATTGCCTTAAAACTCTGAATTCAGTATATTTATGACTTCACTAGCAGGTGACAAATGACCTGTAAGTTTCTTATTTCATAAAAACAGCGCTCTTCATTTTCTAACCCTTCTAGTATTTCGCCTAGACATTTGGTATTAGCAAAAGAATGGTAAGCACAATTTAGATAACTCAAAAATATGCATTATCACTATGTTCATAATTTGGTCAGTGATTGCAGATTCTGTTTGCAGAAACTTACTCGTGAACCCTATAACATACACATCATAAATCAGTATTAACTATGACATGGTTTTGTCACCATTCTCAAAAGAAACACGCGTTGTCTTACTTATGAAGAATATGTGACTATTTAATGTGGCACTTCCAGTGGTGTTATACACTGTTCCTGTATACGTTCAGGAAGTGGATGGAAAAGACTATCAACGTCAGTTGTTACTCACATAATTCGCACATACGTTACACAATAATATGTCACTTCAGTACAAAACGATGATACTTATAATGGATATAACTGTTTATGCCCTTATATTAGCAAGTTATATAATATTCATAAATAGTTTAAGGCTTAATTGATTCTGCGTATATTTTATAAACAACTGCCAACATTTATGTTCATCATCAACATAATCAAGGAGGTGAACCAGATGTAGTGGGTTTTAAAGATTATTCTCCTGAAAACTCAATCTGTGATCTATTTTTTGACTTGAAAATGGTGAATTTTACTTGCATGACTTTGTATTCTTACAAATAACCATATTAGGCTTACTGAATGTTCACTCAGGTTTCGAACAAAAAATACGTCAAACTGCTAATAAATTTGAATAAAAACTATCTAACAAGCACAAACATTACGAAAAATCACGTGTGATGGAAAAAAGGCTGTTAATAGCTGATATACAACGACACAAAAAGTCAACGACAATATGTAACATGTGCGCAAAAACCCTTGGCTTACCCCAATGCTCGTGCCGACTATTTAAGTGTATGTCGATTGAGAAAGGCACTTGAGATTATTCGTGAAGGGTTTTGCCAGCTCTCGTGAGCACACCATGAGAGGAGCACTTTTAACTCACGCTATTTGGTTACTGACCACCTTCTAGATTAATATCGATACTTAGTCTTTTTTTGACCCGAAAAACTTCAAGCTTTCCTACTTTATCAATATTATGCCAGAACCGCCATCCAAAGAGCAAAGAAAAAAACTTCGTCGTCTCATAATCTTATTCATGTTGAAAATACTCCCAAGAATACACGACTGCAAAAGGATTTAGTATATTTGCCGTACCGGATTAATCTCCTAACCTGTTTTCTTGTGAACTTGGTGATATTTCTTCACTATTAATACGTTTTCTTGAACTGCAAACATCTGCTCTATATCATTGCTTAATACGGGTAAAGCGAATACTATTCACCTTTGCTCGTCAACATCGGTCTTCCACTGTCAGTATCAATTGTGGGCGTAAATAGATACCATGGTTATCACAGCATATACAAACCATCTTTGTGACTAAACTATTCTGTCGCTGAAACTACAAGTGACAGCGCATATCCATGTTGTATTTTTTTCCGGTATGGTTTGTCAGCTGACAGAAGCTGCCCCTAGCGCTATGGAATGACTGAGCTCAGCAAAGATTAGCCCTGTAAAGGTTTCTGTCACTCTGCAGAATAAGTCTGCTTACCGTACTTTAACTGACCGAACGAAGATTTTACTATTAATTCTAAAGTCCATGGGGAGTTTAAGTCAGCAGCACAATCTACCTGTTCCAAAATCATGGAGTAATTTTTCATTGCTATAGCCAGGTTTGATAACTGTTTAACATCACTGTAATCAGTGATTACATTACTAAATAAGCCTTCTTATGTTTCTTGAACTATTGCTTTAGATTGTCAGGAGAATCGTTGTAAAATTTCTCTGGCTTTGGCATACTCAGTAGGTGAGTCCGTCTTAGCACACCAATCGATGGTGACTTTCATTCTGCAATGGACTATTAGATATGACAAACCTTGTCACTGGTGACACTCGACGCTACGTACGTCCTAAACTACCGAATAAACTTTAAGTATGTCTCCGGTTTCCTATGGAAGTAAATAGGTCCCGCCTCGGGGGGTTCCGGGACTGACACGAAAGGGTGACCTCCACCCTGATTAGCTTCACCAATCCTCCATTTTAGATGATTTCCGGACGCAGATTAATATTTATTCAACCATTTAAACACCTTTTATCGATGAGAGTCACTCAATCTAATTATTACTACGTGACATTTCCTTAGTCACACTTTTTCCAGAATTTGAGGTTTTGGCCCTATGACTAAGCTAAAATTGTTTACAACTATTATTCTCTTTCACAAAGACGCTCATTACATTAATCAAATATTTCATATTTAATTCCCTCTTTTCTTCTTGAAAGTAAACTCAATATTCTTCTAAACTCTATGGAACGTGATTAGCTATGGCAAATGCTGTGCAAATATTGTTAAAACTTTCGTATAATTGTATTTCTGAGGAAATCTAAAATAGCTTTTTTATCATACGTATGTACTAATAAGCCGTTTATGAATAACAGTAATAAGCAACTCATTGAAACTTGTGTTATGTAATTCTTAAAGGTGTAAAGAAGGCAAAAGATTTCATGAAGCGATCGAAAATGAATGTTGTGGAGGCCTTAGCTCACAGTCAACCATCTCGAACATGGCTTACCGTTGATCAAAGCATAAACATTTAACTACAGTCGGAATAGCCCATAGCGTACCCAGAATTGCGATCGGCGATTTCTGAAAAAAAAGTGATTTGACATTGCAGACTCACCAGAAGAATTTCACTTAGCTTGAAGGTTCGCTGTTTGCTAGCAGTGTAAAGATCAAGTTTTAAGAGAGAATTTAGAAGTGAGAGAACAGAGGAAAAAGCGCGTTGAAAACTGAGTATGCACACAGAATACACCTACACATCATAATGAGAGCAATTGTCGACAAGATGGCATTATTATAACAATCAGATAACTGGAGCTAAAATTTAGTAGTATCATGCAACGCGCGTGTTACAAATGCTTTTTTGTCGTCTTCAAGCGTTATAGAGTCTTCCCATGTAATTACTATGGTCTCAGGTAGAAGAGGTCACTAAGTAGTCCTATTCGTCTGTTGTCACCGGACTCTGGAATTGTTCACCAATACAAAAGTGGTTAGTTTCGAAAAATATTATGGCTTACTGAATGGCGAAATGACAGTGAAGTTAAATCAAAGCACATTATTAGGTCTATGAAGACACCTGTAGTGTGCGTTTGAAACAAAGTTTAATAGGTTACTTTTAAACTATATGACAAAAAGTTTCACAGATGTGATGAATATCCGTAATTATCTTCAAATGTGCCCCGTAGAGCTTATGACAGAGAGTATCAAGGCATTATTTCTTGGTTTAAAGACATAATTAAACTTTCGATTTCCTAGTCACTCGCAATTTTCGCATTGAAGTAGTTTAATCAAGAATCTCATATGAAGATCGCATTCATCATACCTCAGTGGAATGTAAGAGGATGAAAGAATACATTCCGTTGTTGCAACTGGGCCAGAAATTGATATATCTAGAACTCCTACAATCGCATTTTTGAATCACGATTGACTGATAACTTCGCAACCTTCGTGAAAACATCAGGGCACCAAAATTCCAAGTTCTGAATGACGAAATCTCGTTTGGGTTAAAACTATCAGTACACACTAATGTTAAAGATTCCAGAGTCAAAATATAAAATATCAAATATGAGTCAGATAGGAAATAAACTTTTGATGTGAAAATTATGAAGAAACCATGTTCATAGATTGAATAAAACAAATATATCAAAGACCAGTAAAAAAGAAGGATAATCGGAATAACAGTTTATCATTACTTAAGTACTCTAAGCTTTACCCATAATACTCTCGATCGAAATCAATTTGGTTCCTCTCATAGGCAAATAAATTATCACAGTAAATTCAGGGAGGAGAAAGGATAATAAATGCAACATTTTCTAACATAGCAGGTACGCGCCATTTCTATAGGCATGCGCAATAATTTACGGAGTTAGTTTAGAGATGAAACACTACTCGAATAGTGTTATTAAATAGATGCGATTAGTGAAAATAAATGGCAAAATATTCGTGCAGCGAGTTAATAACCAGGTTTATGCCATAGTGTTATACTATGAATTCACAGTTTTCCTGTGTAGCTCATGGGTCTAGGTAGTAGAGTATTTGTGTGCTAGGAGAGCATGAAAAGTAACATAAATGATGAAGGCTGACCGAGAGAAAAACAAACGAAAAGGTCGGCCGATGACCCAGCAAGTGCAATGGACGCACTTACATTCGCTGCGGTAATCTATCAACGACGGTCATAATTAACAAAAGTCTTAGATTAAGATGACATTGAAGCCAAAATCTAGAAGCAGATAGTTCACCCAGCCTCGTTTTGTAACATTCAACTTTTTAAGGTTTTTGTCCAGCTTGAAGGTGCCTTGTGTGCTGGAAGTGTGTTAGCAGCAATGTGAGATTTCGTTGAAGAGAAAAGAAGTGTAAAATGAATCGATGATTCAGTAAGGAAATGGAATCTAATAAATAAAGCAGTTGACGACAGTCAGAACTAACAAGAGCGTGAGAATAAGATAATGTGATAGTCGAAATGAGGGATTGTTAGTGTAAGGCCTCAAACTTGTAGCAGTTTTAAAATCATTGTGCGTGGTATGATTGATGTTAGTGATTTATTACAGAACAACAAAAAGTAAACATACTGGGAGAGGTAAAATAAGCTCCTTATAATACTGAACTAGCAAATTGACATATAAGTCAATTTTGCGAATAATTTTTCGCTTTTGTAGCATGGCCGCGCAGTCCGCTTTTCTGAAATATTTACGTTGTGCTGACGTCATGTTCCACCTCCTTGCTCATTCACTGAACCAGATTTTATGTCGTTGTATTGCATTCTCACTAACCTCAAAAGAACCACAATAACATACGCAAATCCGTCAAGATGTCAAAGCGTCGTTAACCACGCCTTATATATGATGCGTTAGAAAATGGAATCGAAATCAAACCTTGACAACAGCAACATCCGCACCATTCAAAATTCATTAAAAAGGATGGTGGATTGATGGACTTGTATTAATTCTTGCAGCTCATTTCCCAGTGAAGATCTAGATCCTCCATGAAAATATCCACCTACGGGGCTGATATCACTTGTTCGAGCAACCGAAACCACAGACGCTGGTCACTAACTGGAATCCATTAACATCATGATAGGCCACATGACGCCGGGATTAATTACAAAAGCAAGTTTGAGCTGACCATTCCATTGATGGACCGTCTAGATCATAAAAATCGTGGAACACAGGGACTACTAACTCGTATAGGTAGGCCACCTGTCCATTCACATAAGGCTGATAGAGATAAACAGAGCGGTGAATACCACGCGTTTCAAATCTAGAGCATGAACTGCTTTTACATGAAAGTTGCGAGTTTACTGAATAAAATGGATGAGGTGTGTGAATTCAGCAATGCTAATAATGCTCATCTGATAAGAATATCTGAAACTTGGATATTTTGGTGGAGTTTTGTTCTCTGATCTCAGAGAACAAAACTCCACCAAAATCATCCACCTGAGCTACAAATCTTCTCCACCATCTCGAATCTTGGATATCTCAATTTACGGACCAGGAGCCAGCGATACACGAGAACTCTTTGTTTATTAACAACAGTAAAGGAGGAATTGTGTGTAGAGTATCCTTATACTAACGATCTTGCCTGGAGTCAAATCGAGTGCACAATCAAGAGTTTATCAATTTTGATGAATCCGTGTGGTACTGAGTAGGACTGTCTATCACCTTGGCGCGTCTAGTTGGAGTGATCTACAGGATGCTCACTGCTGACATGGAGTACGACAATCGTACGCCAGGAGGGTTATTCCGCTCTACTCGTCCCGGATTCATTCATAACCTGATTTTAGGAGACTCCAATCTTCCTAAAGTCTAGTCCGTTGAACATACGTATAGTGGAGGTGAAAGCTCTACTGAGGCTCGGTTCTTCAAGCTCATTGAGGATCTTGGATTATTCGAAAATGTGAAGTTGGCCACCCGTTGAAGGAACAGTCAGACACCGTCGCACCTAGACTGGGTGCGACAACCTCACAATCCTGGCTCCCTTACGGGAAAGCAATCACACCGTCATAGCCTTCAGTTTTATCAGCAAAATTAAGCTAAGACATCCCACCAACAACAGGCACTGGAATTTCAAACGGTTAAATGTGTCAGCTTTACAGAACAATCTACATCAGGTAGTTTGGGAAATTCGCCGTCATTTGAGTGTGGATGTCCATTTGGATTTCGTACTGCACACAATCTTATGTGCTGTATGGCAGTTTGTTCCTCAAATAGTCTCCAAAATCTACACACTTCATTTTCTAAGCCACGAAGGCACTTTTGGGCGGACTGCAACAACGGCTCATACAGGTATCCCAAACAAGTAAGGAACATATACACCAAGGCAATAAGAAAGGACAGGCTTCAATATCAGGTAAATATTATTTATCTCCAGTCCGAAAAGCCTACCCCGTTATGTAACCTCTCTTCGACAAGCCAAAACTGAAGTTTTCCAACTACTAGGTCCTATTGGCCCAAACAACAACGACGGTAACGCCACTAATCTCCTGGATGAATAGTACTCTCGGACATTTCAACCGACCCACATTAATTGCATTATTGAAAGCTTTCGAAGTGAACTTGAGCTCTGACTTAGTGTACCGGAAGCTGCAGAACATCAGAAAGGACACTTCTCTTGGTCCAGATATGGTTCACTCTGCTATACTGAGAGAAGCAGCTTCAATCCTGGCAAAAACGTTGAACGTGATGTTCCCAAACTTGCTACGCCGAGGCAAATCACCGGAAATTCGGAAGATGGCCCAGATCACACCAATTTTCGAAGGAGATAGACAAAGCGAACCTTCAAGCTACCTCCCAGTGGTTCTTCTCTCTATGCCTTCAAAGATTACGGTATACACGACTATTTATTATCCTAAGACTTCTTTTCACTCCAACAGCACGGTTTCTGAAAGGGCCATTCTTATATAACAAACCTGCTGACTGCGGTGGACTGGTGGACAACCATCCTTGGTCTCTAAGGAAAGGTTGACGTCATTTGCCTTGACATCTCAAAAGCTTTTGACTAAATCAACTATACACGTCCTATCAATAAGCTTGAAGATGCCACAGGTATTTTTAGTTTGACAACAAATTAACCATTGACACCTTCTATAATTGAATCGTGCCCACCCAGTGAAATTAATGATCAGAAACGAGAAAATTCGAGGATATATTTGATAGACTATATATAGAGAATCGAGTGATCTAGACTGGCTAGCGATTGCAGGAGAAGTTGATCACGGCGACCCCACTCGTGAACCAGTGTGGATGTGTGGCAGAGCGCTTTCAGCTTGGTAAGTTCATTAAAACTAATATGGTCAGCATCAAATGACGAAAACCTACATGGCTATTGATTTTGGGGATTTATTTACAGCTCCAAGCTCAAGCGATTAGATGTCAAGTCACCTTTAATTGACTGACTCACTCCATATCTTAAAAATCGACATTTTATGGTCAGGGTTAACTCACTTTCTCTCAGGCTATGGAATGTCCTAGTGGGGTCCCCCCAAGACTTCAGTACCAGGACATCTTTTCTTGATTTATAAACCTTATAAACACACTGATCAGTCTGCATCCTACTCTGATCTTCCCTCAGCCACACTTAACGTGCACCGTTTACTTGGACAAGACATATTACTACCTTGCATCTCGCTTGTCGATATAAATAAGAGCAGTCACATACCGTTAGAGTCGACATCATTTGTCAGTCCAAACAAAAACACCACATGTTGTGAGCAGTATTTAGACAGTGCTGTTGATCCCAAACACCCAGCAATCTCACAATCGGCCATCCTGAGTAGCGGCCCACGGAGTACATGTAAGCCTGCCTACAATAGCCAGCCCGGTGATGTAGATCTTGACTACTCACCCAGACGGATACTCCATCCTCCAACTAAGTATGCACAAGGTGACCACCAGGTAGACACTTGCAACAGGTTTGTATGTAACCATACCGACCTTAAAAACTTTCTTATAAATTCCAGTAATCCCACCACTGGTAGATCTAAAAGCAGCCAAACAGAACTTAGCCTCACCCAAACTATTCAAGACCTATTACCTTACAAATATTTAATCAGTGTTCCAGAAAATCCCGATCTGGAAATTATAAAAAACACTGAAAAAGTAATTGACCATATATCATCTGAAGTGTTGAAAAGACTTCAGTGTATGCAGAATGTTATTGTGTATAATATACCTGATAGTACGAACATAAAGATTGCTAAAAATACTCTGCTACAAGAATGTGGATTGTCGCAATCTTGGTGTGTAACAAGAAGATTACGTAAGGCACACACTAAAGCCTCCTGTCCCATTCTATTTCAGTTTGGTAGCACCACTGAAGCTAATCACCTCCTCAATAGTTAGTCATTACTGAGGCGTATTCCAACATTTAAAAAGATTAGGATCATTCATGACAGGACCGCTATCCAGCGTCGAATCTGCAATGGAACACAAACTGATCAACCCAGCTTACGTAGCCGTGGCAGCTACAGCTCTTGTCACTGCACAAACCCTAAAATATCATACACTGCCCCCCCAAAAAACGGAGGCACGTCGGACACTGCTATTAGTCCTAAGGACAAGACCGCACATAAAGCAGCTACAACCACTCACCCTCAGCCCAGACACTCAGCTACCCCAAAATGCCAAACCACTTATGCCTCAATAGCGTCCAAGTATTACCCTAGCGGCCCTTATAAAATGCCTAAAAATGATCCTCCCAGGGATCGCGCTAACAGCTACAGACCCGCGGACACCGCTGTGCGAAAAAATACCAAACTCTCCGTAAAAACCCACCAATACTCCAGCACCCCAAACCCAAAACATGCACCTTCTCATAGTAATAGAATGCCCTACAACAAACATAGAGAACTGGCAACACCCACTCATCCTAATGTGAAACGACACTCGACAAGAACCACACCCTCACGTGATACCCATAAGTCATATGGTGTCAACCTTGTAAGCCCCATGAACCAACACAAAACTATACACAACAGAAACACCTCTCCTGGCAACAATAACAGGCATTCCTTCATCCCTTACCAGAAACATACAACCTCCCCAACTGACCACAATAGGACTAAAATTGCCCACCGCACACGAGGAAGCCATAACGCTGGCCTACTTGGGAACCCACCTACAGATTCTAGGTACTATCCAAGTCAAGCCACCCAATACAACGGTTTAGTCCCCCCTAATTCGACATGCACACTATCTCATCCTTTTTTATCTCTCTCCCCCTCAACATTACTGCTATGGGGTCTCCAAATGTTGAGGGCGACAATCCCACTATTCTGAAACCATCTATATACTCCGATTTAATGGGGAGTAGCACATCCTACTCAACTTCGATAACTGTTTCTAGTCTTGAAAACTCCTTGACTGAACCCCCTGATCATTCCCCGGACACATTACCTAATCATTCGACTCTACCTTCCACTCTTAGACATACTTCTTTCACCAAAACCACACCCGACTACCCTTCTTGCATTAACCCTAATGGTAATAAACTAAACACTCATCAATATGGAGTCAACGCTCCCAATTCTTCCTTTTCTCAGGGCAAAACAGACAAACCACTCGGTTTACATCATACCCTTCTACTAGACAAACAGTCACCGTACCTGACACTTATGTTAATCAACGCTAGATCTGTACAAAGTAAGATGACTTACCTACGCACCCTATTGCTTTTAAACAACCCCTCACTTGTTTTGATAACGGAAAGTTGGCTGTCCTCCGATACCACAGACACATTTCTACAAATAGACACCTATGAGCTCTTCCGCTGTGATCGAGTCACCAAGAAGGGTGGCGGTTGTCTCGTCTATGTATCAAAAAATTTGAGAGCGGAAACCTATAGCGACCACGTCCTGAGCAAACTTCCTGAATCGATATGGCTTACTGTGCACACTCATGAATGTAAAATACTAATCGGATGCATATATCGAGCTCCTAACACTCCTAGTTCAACTGACACTATTATAAGTGAGTCATTTGCTCAGGCTGCCTCGCTTGACTTCACATACAAAATTGTATGTGGTGATTTCAACCTTCCCATCATCAACTGGACGGTACATTCTGGCCCATTGTGCTTTGAAAACATACTTAGGTCCTTAGACATACACGGTTGACAACAACATGTACACCTGCCTACACGAAATCACAACATTCTTGACTTGATATTCTGTCATAGTGTCACACCAACATCAATGGTGGTTAGCGAAAAGTTTCACAACAGCGATCATAAAATAGTCCTCTGCACCCTTCCGATTCTTGCCATATGCAACAAATTAAAGACATTAAAAACGCGATTCCAATATAGAGACTATGCAAACGCTGACTGGGAAAACTTTCGATTTCTAATAAAGCACTCTGACTGGGGCAGTTTCTTTACCAGTAATAACCTCTTAGAAACATTAGAAATATTCAATATCACCACCAAATCTGCACTAGACACCACTATACCCTCTAAAATTGGTTTTAAAACAGTTACTCCCTATATAAACCAAAAGACTAGGTCTAAACTGAGAAAACTGAAAAGGATGTACTATATATCAAAAGACTTCAGTGCCCTGCACCAGATATACTCTGTACTTGACGGAGTACAAAGTCAACACAACAAGCATAAACAGGTACAGGAACGTACTGCGCTCGCTGCTGCATCTAAAGCCCAAGCCCTATGTCGTCTCCTCACGAAACGCATAAGAAAGAACACAGACAACAACATTCACTCCTTACTGCACGATGGAGTAACGTATAATGACCAAACCGTCATATGTGAACTATTAAGTGAATGGTTTTCTCACAATGGGAATACATCTGATGCCCCAGATATCGACATAAAGTGCACCGGCAAAAACTATCTTAGTACCATAAACTTCGACATTATGAGTATACATACCGCCATTAAAACCCTTAAACCAAATGCGAGTTCTGGTGCCGATGACATCCCTTCAATCGTTTATAAAATGTCAGGGCCGGACATACAGACGCTACTACTCAAAATATACACATTATCTTTAGAGACAGGTACATATCCGGAAACCTGGAAGGTAACGTATGTTCTACCCAAACACAAATCCGGACCGAGAAACCTGGTAGAAAACTACAGACCTATAAATATCACTCCAGTCATATCACGCATAATGGAAAAAGTGATACAAAATCAACTATCTGATCACCTACTCAAGGAAGATCTAATAGACCCGTCACAACACGGCTTCATTAGAACAAGGTCGTGCAGTACATGCCTGATAGACTTCTTTAACGAGGTTACTCGTATGCGTGACCAGAAGAAACTAGTTATTATACTATACTTCGATATTAAGAAAGCCTTTGATAAAGTACCTCATAATCTTCTAATCAACAGACTGAAGTCAGTTGGAATTATAAATCCCCTTTTGCAATGGATCAAGTCTTTTCTTACGAACAGATATCAAATAACCAAGATTAACTCTAATACATCTACACCTCGACCGATAACCAGTGGTGTTGTGCAGGGTAGTGTCTTGGGTCCATTGCTCTTTATAATCTACATCAACAATATATGCAGGTGTTTCAGCACAGGTAAGACCTACCTCTATGCCGATGACTTAAAGGTCATCTATAAAACTGACATTTGCGATTTACGCAGTACTATGCAAACAATCCAACATGAACACAACATGGTAGATGACTGGTGCAAACGCTGGAGGTTAGAGCTCAACATAGAGAAATGCGGCTGGTTATGTATAGGAGACACGTCTCTTAAAATGAAACTAACAATTAGCGATCACGCACTCCCCAGACTGGCATCAGTAACTGACCTAGGGGTACATTATTCACACAGTCTTAATTTCTCTGAACACATCTCAGCCAAAGCATCCAAAATGCGGAAATTGCTTGGCTTCATTCTCCGTAATTTCTATCAAAATGAATCTAAAATCCTTCTTTACAAAGTTTGTGTAAGACCTATCGTTGAATACTGCTCGTTCTTATTTTCCAACCTACGTCTATCTGATATACTAAAGGTGGAAGGAATACAACGAGACTTCACCCGCAAAATACTTAAGACTGGCTCGGTCATTGACTACAGTTCTCGATGCCAAATCTTAGGAATAGCACCCCTTTGGGAGAGAAGGCTTAGGTCTAATTTGATTCTCTACTTCAAACTACTCAAAAACCTTACTTACTCAACATGTCAGATAATTCTTGCCCGAGATTCACATGAATACGAACTTCGAAACAAAGTATCTACGGTCAAAGTTGAGAAATACAGATCAAAAACTCGGGAAAACTTCTTCCTCACCAAGTATGCAATAATATGGAACAGTCTTCCTTCCGAGACTCGCATGGCAGATGAACTACATACGTTTGTGAAACTGCTTGATCAAGCCCTCACTCGCACTGATCTTGCACGTACGAACACATCTGCACCCCACTCAGACATCATAGGCTCTCTCCATGTCTAGACCAAAATGGACTTCAAGTTCAGTTTGCCTTATTTTTCCTACTTTGCAGTTGTATTAATTACTTTTTCCACCCCATTTCTTCACTTGAAGTAGACAGGTAACTCACTGGACCTATCATTACTGTCAAACTAAACTCGGTTGATAAGGGACACTCACTACCACCCTAAAAAGTCAAGAGGACCCCACAATCGGCTGCCTACTACCAGTGGTCTTGCATCTATGGAACCTGTTACCAATCAACTGGTTAAGACAACAGAAAATAACATCAGCACCAAGTTACTGTGAGTTCCTTCCTGTTTATCCTATATTAACTTTTTACTCTTCTGTACACAATGTTGACTAGCAATTAATATTATTTCTCTACTCGTTCCCTTATCCACAACTCATACTTCTATACTTTTTCCGCCTGCTTAAATAAACAACTATCCTACAATATACCCTTCTTAACGCTTATACTCTGTTTGGCAAACTATACTTTATACTATAGTCAACAGAGGCACTGCATCGATGCTTTACCCACAGTCCACAGCTTGTAACTGCCTGATAAGCTTGTAAAATGGTACTTATAGAAATAGTGCTTTCCAACAAGTTGTGAAACAGAGGATTGTGTGAGGTTTGACGTATGTACAAAAATAAGCTTAAATGAGCCTAACATCACAAAAGGAGGGAGGGTGGAGTTACTGACCAGCAAGCATTGACGGTGAGGGCGATAACTTCAATCCACCCGTGTTTGTGGGGACAGAACATTTTGTATGTATCAGGCTCTTTATAATTGAGAATAAGACAGTCAATCTAAGATATAGATTGTCTTCCTACGCTCACCACTCAGACTCATGTTTCCAATAATATGCTGGATTAGCTATTCTACTAAGACAACCTATAACATGCTAACTCGGACTTTTACACTAGGATTGCGTGGCTGACATCGGATGGACAAAAAAAGAAAAGAAAAAAGACAATAAAAGATATAGTCACTAGTATTCTTAACACTTCACCCTCTATATATACACTCTTCTAATAAACCGCTTCCCTTGTACCAACCTTGACTTCCCTTCCTTCATGTGAGCTTACTCCAACTTGTTAAACATCACTACTCGTTGTTCTTTATTAGTACATTTTCTAATATGGAGCCTCTGACTTCACTCTAACAAGACATAATATTAATTTATTCTAATTTATTATACCTCTGTCCGTTCTACTACACAATGTTAAGCAATCTTTGGCGTTCATATCCAAGTGCCTTGCTGCTCCTCTGTTTCTTTTTTTTCTCCTTCAGAATCTTGCTCTGAGAGCACAACTATGAAACTTCTGACGTTTGGAGCAAACTTAACGTACGCGTCCTCTCAAGGTCATAGTTTACAGCAAGCGCTCTACGATCTCACTTTATAACAACTATAAACTTAATAAGTTGGGAAGCATTTTGCGAACCAACAAATATTGTAATTTATAGATCATGCCTGTAAAAACGGTGTGTACCTGCACGTGCAGAAATATATTATTATTATTAACACGTCGTCAGACTCATGACGTTTTGCTGATGATGTGAAACTTTGGAGAGATGAACGCGACCCGGACGATAAACCGGCACTTCAGGAAGACCTAGCTCAACTTTAAATCTGATCAGATGACGACGGACTTACCTTTGGCACTTCAAAGTGTAAAGTAGTCCATCTGAGAAATGTTACAGACTACGGCTACAACTTAGAAGACTGTATAAGTGTCACAGGTTTAAAATGATCTAGGAGTGTTGGAACCCTACGACTTGAAGTCTTACGCTAACTGCGATAAAAACATCTTTAGAGCAAATCTTGCAGTCGTAACATTGACCAGTTTGATGAAAGAACGTTCCACATAACCTTAAAGAGTTTCATTCATCCCCATTTAGAGTAAGGCAACATAGTATTTCCTCCCTCACTCCGAAAAGATAAGGAATGCATTTAACGGCGAGCCAGAAACACAGTACGGGGACTCAAATTTAAGCCTTATGTAGAGCGCCTCCAATCACTAAGGCTTTACACACTAGAGTACAAAATTGTATCTTACTATGATTTAACCATTTCATTTTCCTCTTTTAACGTCAATATGCCTAAATTCTCTGTTTTGGAAGACAAAAAATAAGGGCATGTAAGGTGCAAATTTATCACTAAGTAATTTGAAAAATATAATCAACTCACCTCTAGTTCTCCGATACGACAAGGGGAATAGTTCGATCTTAACCAGTCAACCACCATACCGGAGTTTCGCTATTCCGGGAATCAGCTTAGTTGATGTTCTCTGAGTCTTTCTCAAGAGCTTAGTCTTTTCTAAGCAGGGGCCAGCTGTTTGTAATAATAATAATTTATTCTTAAATAATAGTTTGTTACATGAGCCATTCCAGTTTACAGGCGGGATCAAATGTTTACAAATGCTACAGCTTTTGCCGTAGTAAATTACTCAGTTGGGGTGATGCTTGATAAGATATGAATGTGGATGGTTTTAGTAAGACCCGTATTGTCAATATCACTTGACGCGCGTTTCAAAAAGGGTAATGATTTTGTACGGCACAGTCAGGCTGTTACGCCATGGATGTTCGCGCATATTTGACATTGTCGAGGATCAGGTATGAACAGTTTTCTTTCCATCTCACGTTTATTTTCGTAATGCTTTTGTTTCTTACATGACATTTATTGCAGTTTGTTAGTAATTTGACATATTTGTTGCTGACAACCTGTGTGAATGTTTAGTAAGCTTAATGTGGTTATTTGTAACACCGCTAATTCGGGCTAGTGAAATTCACAGTTTATTAAGTCAAAAATAGTCCATAATCACAGTTTTGTGTAAAAATGAGCGTTAAGAACCTTTAAATATAATTCAACTCCTTAATTATGGTGGTGTTGAACGTGGATATTAGTAAGTGTTTGTAAACTGTAGGTTGAAGCAATTAAGTTAACCGATTGGCATCATAAACATAGTATAAAGCAAACTACTAACATAGTGAGTCGTTAGTAGTTATGGGGATTTGAAGCTCTCAGTGTGCTATATGACACAACTCTATAAGAAATAGAATCAAATAACAAGTATTAATGAATTAATTCTTGAATTCCTACCGCATTACAGACTGACTCGGTATAAGTTCAAGGCAGATCAGGCCATATACATGGCGAAAACTGAACGAGCAATCCAACCTAAAACACAAATTTCTAACACTAATATCTCCATTCTGGCCACGAAACTCAGCTAAAGTAACAAAGTAGTAAAATATAGTATAAGATAATTTGCGGAGATGAATAATGTTTAATCTGGAAGACAAGTTCATCAATAGATGGTCGATTCTTAACAGCAAGCACGTACTGTAAGATCCGTTTTGAACATTTTATGTGTGTGTGAAAATCCCTTCATGTATATACTTGCACTATGTTCCTATTGATCCCCTTAGTTGTACATTGTTAGTTTTTGGATTACATCTGAATTGTTAATATTTGTATTTTATCATAGTTTTTATTTTTATTACGCCTTCACTAAGTTTTTGTGCTTCTTCCCGAACTGCATCTATGTTGTTTTACTTGACACTTGTTCTTGGCGGCAGCCATATTGATTTGCTCCTCCTTTTGTGTGTGATCTATTCAGTCATTATAGAATAGCGCTGATTTGCTGTAACTGTTTAGATTTGATTGACTGAACAATTAATGGTTGAATAGCCGGGTGATAATATTTGTTTAAAACCGCTATTTACCCGATTACTTGTTTTGATTTTAACGGGCAAGGGCGCGTGTCTAACGTACCTGGACGGCTATTCATTTGTTCGAACCGTAGTTCGGATTCTACACGTTCTACTCAGGCATATTTTGCTTCCGTCTTTGCTGACCAGTGGACACTTATTTTCTTTTCTGATTGTTTATGAGTTGTGGTCATGTCAGTAATCTAATTACCCATGTTGGAGTTATATGAAAAAATGAGCTGTGAAACCATCTGTATTTCATTCCCTTCCTTAATTATGGTGGTGTTGAACACAATTAATCGTATGAAATTATGGTCTAGTTAGGTACTGATACTAATTTGATAATAAACGTAACCCGACGACGGTAAATATGTGACATGGGTGCCTTATATGTAAGACCATACGTGGAAGTAGCGTTACATATTCCTTCTTAATTCTTAGACACTTACTCTTGAAAATTAATAGTATTCATACCCATGAAAGTAGGAATAAGAGGAAAATAAAAATTACGTAAAAGTTTATTGAATCATCATTAATACTGAAACATAAAAACAAGTTTACAAGCTGTTATTGATAATTCTTAAACAATAATTGTTGACTTTGTTTCTCAACTTCTGTCGCGAAACCTTCACCACATTTTTCAATGATGTGATGCCCTTAAATTCTTTGGAGTCGTAGAATCCTTAAATAATCACCACTCCGAATCGGTAATGCATTTGTTGTGTTATTTTGGAAGTTCTGAGTAATATGTGGCTTCCATCTGCTGCAATGCTTGAGAAGTTGATGGGCTATGGATTTCATATTTTACAAGTAATTAAGCTTACCTGTAATAGTTCGTCTTTTGACATATGCCAGTAGCATATAGCGGCAACGATATCGACTCGTAACAAGTATTCTACAATTGCACTCACAAGTGCTTACATCCACTTCATAATGCTGTCCGCATTCAACCATAAACAACTAGTCTCCGTTTTCCTCTTGTAGAATTTGATGACATATCCTTGCTCTTCCACTCTTACACGGAACTTTGATTAGAAACTAAGGAATTTAGATTTAAACGTCAGATATTAGTTAAAGTCCTCACGTTTTTGATTCACTTTCAAACCTTCCGATTTCTGCTTATGACCAGATGTACAGTGAAATGTAACAAACAGGTATTTAAACCTGAAATCCTTCAGCAACTTACTTTCCGTGTGGATGTAATGAGTATAGGTAGTTTGAGAAGGGATAAAATTATTCTTCCATACTTTTTGGAACTCTTCTAGTGCTGTCAGAGTCATGCCAGCATGGAAAACGC